CCCTCCCTGTCTCTCTCTCTCTCTCATTACAACACTGACAAAACATTTTTTTAATTTTAAAATCATTACATTTTCTACATTCAAATAAAGATTTCATGAGATATAGAATACTATTTATTAAATGAAGCAAATTGTTTTGTCGAATAAGAAATCCAATTTTCTTCGCTGTAAAAATTACATCTTAATTAGTGAACATTTTGTAGAATTAAAATAAAATTTGTTAGTTTAAAATGATCTACTCTTTGATATTGAATAAATAAAAAATTAAAGAAAGGTGCGCTCTTAATTTGTTTTTTATTCTTTTAATTTAAGTTGATGAAGCATTAATTAGGAGCCATCTAATGAATCGTTTTTTTTTAGTAAAGCAATATTTTTTTGTTAAGGTATTTTTTTATCAGTGAAGCGATAAAATTTATAATCTACTAACTTAAACTTCCCCATTGTCCCGAAGTATCAAGGAGATGAAATTTGGGGGAGGTGAAGGGATGACCGGGTTTCATTATAGTTTCCGCAGGAACCTAGAGAGCAACTATATCTGGTCTAAATCGGTCAAAGGATTTAGGAGTCAACAGAGAATATGTATACAGACAGATATTCTATTTTATTATACATATATGGAGGAAAGTTTCCTATCACGGGATAGGTTTTTAATATGAGATAGAAGGTTTTCAACATCCAAATTAAATCTTACTCGCGACGATTACACGATCTAACAATGGATTTTCCACTAAACAGAGATTTCACTCCAAGGCCAATAGATTCATGGTGGAGCCAATAGAAGCCTATCTCATAATGAAACTTTCCTCTACCTACAGATAGAAATAAAAATCCATATCTGCGAACAAAATCGCTCTGTAAATAAATATCGAATTGCGCGTGACGTTCCCAAAGCGTACAGCACTCGAGGAAAAAATATTGGCGCGGTCGTGACGTCCCCCTATTTTTTTTTCATAGCTTGAGCGCGAGCGAAACTTTAAATCACAGCGTTCTGATTCGCAGAGGTGGATGATATCTGTCAACTCATGAAAGGCATACTCTGCTCTGACATTTGCGTCCCGACGCCAGGCTCGTATCGCTGCGAGTGCCGCACCGGCTTCACTTTGTTAGAGGACGGAAAGACTTGCAAGCAGGATCCGCCGACCGACAGGTACTGAATAACGTAGATCCTCAATGTGCTAGATGCCTTTACTGCATGGGAGAGCGTATTCGCGACAGGATTACCATTCCGGTGAATTATTGGCAACGATATCGCGAACGCTGCGAATGAAAGGCCAGCTATGTTATGTCTCAGAAGGCGTGACAATGAAAATGTTAACAATCATATTTCCGTTTTCAGGTGCAGGCCGACTCACCCCTGCGCGCATCTCTGCACCGACAACGGGGTGGCTATCGTGTGCAGCTGTAATCCGGGCTACGACCTGGCCAAGGACGGACGTTCGTGCATCCTGAGGTCGAAAACTAAAAAAGTGCCGAGAAAAGACAAAGACGAAACGTCGCCGTTGTGTCCGTCGGGCTATCAATATAACGGCAGCAGTCAGGTGTGCGACGGTAAGTACAATTCAAGAGAATACAACTCGCGTGCAGGTAAGGAAGTGACATTTGTTAATCTTTTAACGCGGTAACAGAAGCACACATCCTTTTGTTCACATTTACTTAATATAACTAATATACCTCGTCCATGTTTCATGTTTCTCATGTACTGTAATATCACTTCGATTATATCGCTGTGTTCGCTGCGGCATTGTTATTTTCAGTCTCTCGCTTAAATTGTACGAATAGGCGACCGAGTTCGTATCTTCTTTGTCTGTCTTTTTATTATTCCGCGAGATTAATTTTCGTTCAATCGCGCTGGGCTGCTTGTTTCTGCGATCGAGCATTCGATTTTCGCATATGATCGTCACTTGTCGCGCGCCGATTCGATCGACCAGACGTGGACGAGTGTCTGGAGCGCGGCGTATGTCCCGGCGGGGGATGCCAGAACACCGTAGGATCGTATATTTGCATCAGGGAGAGGTCCGCAAAGAACGCACCCTACGAAGCCTGTCCTCCGGGCTACGAGTGGCAGCCATCGACAGGTGTATGCGCAGGTAACGAGAGGCGCGTCTTTCTCCAGCGAGAAATGACTCGACGTCAATTTGACGGTGCCGATTCTACATCGTTTCGACATCCCCAGATAGCCAGCGTGAGCACAAATTGCTAACAAAAATCTTAGTATCTTAAGCTACGCGTCTGTGTCGTCTATTGTGCTGCTGTTTGCTAGCATCCCAGGTAGCCAGCTGACGTCACTTGTCGTCATTTTGACGTCGAAATAACGACAAGTGACCTGTCAGCTGGCTACCTGGAATTTGATGTCGGAAATGAAACATCTGCATGATCCAAACGTTATGCCAGCGTTAAGTGCTTGGCCTGATGTCATACGTTTGTATCTGTTAGAAAATTGGAAAACAACGGATGCTAACTCTTTGTTAACAGTATGCTCATTCGAGGTATTCTCTCTCTAGCTGTACACTCAGCTACGACGATATGCTAACATTATGCTAGCTGTACCTTACTTAAATCACTCGAACATTGAATTCATATTCCTAGCGAAGAGCTAGCATCAGTTGCTGACATTTTATTTTTACCATATACATTTTTACCATACAGCACGCATGTCTAAAAGACATCTTTAAGACATTAGATATGTATGCTTAAAAGACAACTTAAAGATGTCTTAAAGATGTCCTTTAGACATGCGTGCTGTATGGGATTGCTTGAGCATACTGGTTATCTGGGTCGATCGGCGAGTAATTTTTCGCTGGGTCGCATGATTAAGTTATCGAAATTATTATTACGCGTTTGTTTTTCAGATATTGATGAGTGTGCCGTCTTATCGGCCGCCTGTGACGCCGATAAGCCATTCTGCGTGAATACGCAGGGTAGTTACACGTGTCTGGAAATGACCGGGGCGAAGTCTTGCCCCGCGGGATTCAAATTCGACAAATCGTCGCAGTTGTGCAAGGGTAATATTGGCGATACCTGTAGGTGACACTCATTCAGTCGCCTATACTTGTGATAAAATAACTGTCACATTAATTATGGTGAAACGATGAAGTTCCCGCGGAAAATCTTCCCTCTTTACGCATTCCTTTTGCTTATTTGTTAATCAGACGTGGACGAGTGCGCGGAAGCTATACACAGCTGTCTGGCAGATGTCGAGCAATGTCGAAATACCGAGGGTGCTTACGAGTGCGATATGAAATGTAGAAAAGGATTCACATACAGTATCGGCCTGGGTGTCTGTGTCGGTGAGCTCCTTCGTTCTTCGAATTATCAATGATCTTTAAATCTTTGTTATGACGCACGTAATAACTTTGTCGCTTTTCGACACAGTCTCTGGTAGCACAATATATTGACGCAACATTGGGAAATAATGTAAATCTAGTATCCCCAGTATTGGTTCAATATTGTAAGATGGACCCCTTTTCTTATTTAGCCAATATGTCTATTTATTGCAAAAATATTGGTCCAATATTGGATCAATATTAAAGCAATATCGTTATTACATTGTTAAATATTGACCATTGACACTTCCAATATAAATCTAATATTATATAATTATTATCGTGCAATATTTATATTTATTTCCTGGCAAATATTCGGCTTTACGTTGGACAATATCGGCCAATGCATTTCTAATCTAACCAACATTGGACCAATATTTCGCCAATGTTTAGTCAATGCATTGTACTACCAGGGGTATTATGTTTTCAATGAAAATTTCCGATGTGATGATTCTTTGTACTAGGTGAATTTGCATGCACGTGCATCTCTTGCGATCGCTATTTTCTTTCATTGCATAAAATTGAGTAAACGACCGTGGAAAACATCAGTTATCTTGGGAATGAATTTGAGTTCACATTCATGATCTGGTTCCGCATGCAATACTTCATACCCATGTTTTTTATGCATGTAAGTAATGAGTTAACTTTTTAAGCGATTGTGATTTAGTTTCCCATACAGCAAAATATATCTGAGACTTCTAGCAATATATCTGAATATTCTTTACGCAATCAGATATCTGATGCGCAGATATCTTTTTGATACATTCTGCTGTGTGTTTAACTTGTATTAATTGTTAATGCAATTGTGATTAATATGAAATTAGGGTCGGGTAATGTCTAGTTAAAAAGATAAAAGTTAAGTGAAAAATTAAAAAGAAAAATAATTTTAACTTAACTTAGTTACATTATAGACTGTTAACTTCTAACTGAATTTAGTTACATTTTATCGGTAACTTTTAACTTTTAATTTACATTTCTTAAAGTTAGTTATGCCATAAACAAAGGCATTGCACGGCGCCGCTCGTCTGCCTACACTGGCAGTTTCTGTGTTCCAAAATTTACTGCCAGCGCTAAAAATCTACAGTTTACGTTACGTGCACTGTAGATCTTCAGCGCTGACAATGAATTTTGGATTTCTGGTTGATGTTTCTTTTCAATAGTTTATGATCTGCAATTATATTGTATATCTCTTCTTTTAGACATAGATGAGTGCGTCGAGTCGAGCAACCCTTGTTCCGATCCCAGCACAATATGCGTTAACACGGAGGGTGCGTACGAGTGTACAAAGACATCGGCTAGTCCTTTTCCGTTTCCTCCAGTTAACAAGGATCCATCCGCTCACCAAAAGAATGTGCAATCGGGTTTAAGGATGACTTGTTCCGCGGGATACAAACCCTCTAACGATTCCGGAACAACGAGGTGTACAGACGTCGACGAGTGCAATGAACAATTGCATTCTTGCGAGCTCAACGAGCGTTGTGTTAACGAAATCGGTAGTTACAGGTGCGACATTCTACGATACTTTAATGATCTAAATTCGATGGAAGATTTTAAAACATTATTTTAATGAAAAAAAAACTAGATGCGTATCAATTGAAAACAACAAGGACACGTCTACCACGGAAGAGACAAACCGCGATCAACGCGACGATCGATTTAGCAGAGGATATAAACTAGAGGGGACGAGCATTTCATCGGTCACGAACGAAGTCGAGGATTGCAACGAGGGTTACTTTTTCGATGGAAAGTCTGGCCGGTGCATCGGTAATTATTGTGTTACTTGTTGCTACATGAAATAATTTTCCGTATTTTTATCGAAGGTCAATAATGAATATGTTTCTTAAGAAACAGAGATGGAAATAATTATTTCCATCCTCGTGGCATCGCTTTGAACTTCATTCTTCCATCGCAGCCTCAACCTGCCTCTTCTCTTCCTTTCCAAACGAGAAAAAGGTTTTCTTTGGGGGAGAGTCTTCATTTTCTTTTATCACATGTACTATTTTTATCGCCGCAACTGTGTCTCTGCTGTTGTTATTATTTTATACAATTCGCGGTTACATCTGGGGCTTCATTCTTGAATTCATTCGAAGGAGAAACGTATGCGAAAATCCTGCTCTGACTGGCTTTTAACCAATCGACTTTCAACTTTTCTGTAAGAGCAGAAATTTCTAATACGTTTCTCCTTCGAATGAATTCAAGAATCGAGCACCTGGCCCTCGCCATTTTCGCACACAGCCCTAAATATCCTGACTAGTATTTTCCTCTCAAAAACACTCAACGCTGACTCGTTTGCCATAGCACTGGTAGCACAGTGCATTCGCTAAACATTAATCTAATATTGGTTATATTAGAAATGCATTGGCCGATATTGTCTAACGTAAAGCCAATATTGGCCACGAAATAAATGTAAATATTGCACGATAATAATTATATAATACTAGATTTATATTCGAAGTGCATTAGCCAATATTTAACAATGTCATAAGAATATTGGTCTAATATTGATGCAATATTAAACTAATATTGCTAAATAGACATATTAGATAAATGAGAGAAGGTCCATCTTACAGTATTAGACCAACATTTGGAATACTAGATTTACATTATTTCCCACTATTGCGCCAATATATTGTGCTACTAGAGAGTCCTACTAGGGTGTCCATACTTCTGACTCGTATGTTACCTACTGGTACATTGAGCGCTTTGTAAAGCCTGATTTTAGTTTTTTGAGACAGGTTGCAGAAGTGTTTACCTACCCCAAAGTAACATCTATTGGCGAGTACTATTCTCCTTCGGATTTCATGAGAGATGTTGTTACTGCTGTCGATTAAAAATCCGAGGTACACAAAACTCTCTATCGTTTCCAAGTTATTGCTGGCAATGTTCATGGGTGAGTTGTCGGCTCGTGGCAATGTTGGACGTGTGGCGTGGGAAGCTTGAGGAGACTGGGGCTTGGATGGGGCTGCAGGACCAATGATGATGATGATGATGACAATTTATGTTTTACAGATGTCGACGAATGTGCCAATGGAATAGCGACTTGCAGCATAGGCGAGCGTTGCGTGAACACGGAGGGCGGTTATCGATGCTCTCCAACATGTCCACCCGGTTTCCGGCTGCGTAACAATTCTCGGTCGGCGAACAAGGCCGAAGAATCCTGCGAAGATATCAACGAGTGCCTGCTCGGTTTACATACCTGTAACAGTTTAACTCATTATTGCCTTAATACGAATGGGTCTTATGTTTGTGGAACACGAACTACTACCACCAGCACCATCGCAACGGCGATTAGCAGCACAACAACAAGAAGACCGTTCGTTGGACCGCGCTACGGCGTAGTACAGGTGGCAATTTCGCGAATTATCGATCGCGTCGATATCGTAATTTCCTCAATAGAAAACGTCGGTTTCGCAATTTTTTTTGTACGGAAATAACAGTAGTCAGCGTTTAGAATCAGGAGTTAAAAGAGCTTGAAATGTTTGTCATAAAAACCTTAACATGGTCAAGATGGTCAAAAAGACAAATTAGTAAGACTCTTATTCATTTACATTGAAACTGCACGTGGTCTAATGTAATCTGATCATGTTCTACCTAATAAACAGGGCGATTTCGTATTTATGCAGAACACGAATCGTTACTGGTCCACCGAACCCTGCAGACTGGGGTACAAGAGAGACGCGAGTACGGGCCATTGCGTAGACATAGATGAGTGCGCGGTCGGTCCCGGATGTCGAGATCACGAGAGGTGCACGAATACTCCGGGGGGCTACGACTGCTCGCCCCTTTGCAGTATCGGCTGGTATTTCAGCACGACGACGAAAGGCTGTCAGGACGTGGACGAGTGTTTGTTGGGCAGGCACGATTGTCCTCAGAGCACGCACAGGTGCGCGTCTCCCTTTCTCTGTAATAATTACGTGACGATCGTGTGCTTAACTTTTGGCGGTGCTCTTTCTGACGATTAATATTCACAAATATCCACGAATGTTGATCCGCAGATGCGTCAACACCAACGGATCTTTTGCTTGCGAGTTGATACAGCCTTGCAGCCGCGGCTACAGACGAGCCTTTAACGGCACCTGCCTGGACATCGACGAGTGCTCCGAGAGCCTACACAACTGTCGGCTCAACTTGCATCAATACTGCGTCAACAAAGAAGGTGGCTTCGAGTGTTTGACTAGACTGCCCTCCTGCCCGTCCGGATACCGGTATTCTTTGAGCGCTCGACAATGCGAGGACATCGACGAGTGCCTAACCGGGCAGTACAGCTGTGACGCGAAATACTCTGAGAGATGCGTCAACCTACAGGGTACATACAGGTGCGTCAAATGTTTTCAAAATCTTGGATGCTCTATTGCGTTTACCTGATTTAGAATCCCGATTGGGATATTTTTCATTCCCGTTCTATTGCATTTCCCAGCGAGAAATGACTCGTCGATCGATGTCGAAACGATGCTGATTCGACGTCATTTCGACGAATTATTTCTCACTGGGCTAATCCCCAATCGAGATTCTACATTAGTACGGGAAAATATATTCTGTAATTACCACTGGCAACAATAAGCCTCGCTCAATTTGATTCTACACTAGGTAAATGCAATAAAACAAGAATTAAAAATATTCAATGATATATACCTTGCAGGTGCGAAAGACCTCTTCCTCCTCGTCAACGCCAACGACCAGCTTGTCCTTCCGGCTATCGGTATCATCCTAATTTACGCAGGTGTACAGGTATATCTAATAATTTTTATATAGCCTTAAAAGGTTTTGCTTTAAAAGTTAATGGTCATTTTTATAAAGCCTAGAAACATTAGGTATAATTTGTATACTTCTGACTAATTAATTTTTTTTTAAATTCCTTTTAGTTGTAGCGTAAACTTATGTTTTGTGATGTGTTAACCACGATTTCAGATATTTTTCATGTTTTCAGAACTCGTCAGTACAATATCGAGCTCAGGTTAACTAATTGACGCATGTTCGACGAATCCCTCGCAAATGCATGGACGAATTATGCTGTTACCATTTGGCTTTCGACATGCACGATTAATCACAATATCATTTGTGGCCGCTTGCGTTTTTATTGCGACGAATTTGTGTTTTGTACGCGCGGTTCTACATTTAATTTCAATGCTTTTATCAGAGATACAATTTAAGAGCTTGAATGCCAGGACATCTGTTTTGCAGGGAAACAATAACGCTTTTCTAATTAATCACCCTGTCTCAATATTTTAATTCCAAAAGGGATGCGACTGCTTTGGTACGAAGGGAAAGGTACCTTCGAGTCTTCTCATTCAAAGTATTTGAAATTATAGACATTGATGAATGCGCGGAAGGATTGGACACATGCGGTGACGAGCTCTGCTACAATCAACCAGGTGGTTACAGCTGTGCGAAGCCGCCCGTGCCGATAACCAGAAAACCGCCCACGACGGCGATGCCGGTACCGATGAACCAAAAGTGTACACGCGGCACCAGGTTCGTAAGGAACCGCGGCTGCGTCGACGTCAACGAGTGCCGGGAGCTCGAGGATGCTTGCAGCAGCAACGAGGAGTGTGTGAATACCGTAGGCAGCTATACGTGCACCTGCCGGACCGGTTTCAGGCGCGATAATTTCACGCAGGCCTGCGTCGATATCAACGAATGTCAGTTGCAGGTAACAAGGACGACGACGATGTTCGCGTAAACGTGCGGTCTGACATTTATGGCGTGAATCTAGAGAAAACAGATACGAATATTGTGACATCTCGCGCGTCGAATCGAAGAAGATAAATTCAATCATGCAAAGTCTGTGCCTCAAAAAGAACTTCCCAGCGAGAAATGACTCGTCAATCGATATCAAGATGATGTGAATCGACGTCGAAACCATCAAATATGGATTCGAGATCGTTTCGATGCCGACCAACTTATTTTTTTACTGGATTCCCTACAGTAGCACATCGACCAAACGTTGGTTAAACACTGGCCCAATATTTGGCTGCATCGGGCCAATGTTTAGCCAATGCACTGTGCTAAACATTGGCCCGATGTAACCAAATATTGGGCCAGTGTTTAGCCAATGCACTGTGCTACTAGGGATTCTCTTCACCGGGTTTAACATTTGTTTGTTGAAGGAGAACGACTGCTTGTCGACGCAGCGATGCGACAACACGATCGGCAGCTACACGTGCACGCGTTTCTTACCCTGCGGTACCGGCTACACCCTTAACGCCGCGACCGAGATTTGCGAGGACGATGACGAGTGTATTCTGGGTACCCACGACTGCACGTCCGGGTATCAGTGCAGGAATACCCTGGGCTCGTACCGTTGCGATCGCATCCCGCGTATACCGAGTCCGCAGCCGCGCACCTCGCCGATGACGACGACGATGAGGATCGCGACGGTCACGACGACGACGACGCCGACTCCATTGGGCTCGGCCGGTTCTCAGCCGAACTGCCCGCGCGGCTTCGAGCCCGGGTCCAGCGGCAAATGCATGGACATAGACGAGTGCCAGAGAACGCCGAATCCCTGCGCCAGGTCTATGCAGGCGTGTGTCAACACTCTGGGATCCTATAGGTATGCGTAAAATTGCCGACCGCAACAGCGACACGGATTAGAGTAGTTCACCAATTTGGGGACAGGTTTCGGCTGTTACATATGTATAATAAGACCTCTCCTAGAAACACATTGCATTGGCCGATATTGTCCAACGTAAAGCCAATATTGGCCATGGAATAAATGTGAATGTTGCACGATAATAATTATATAATATTAGATTTATATTGGAAGTCAATACTTAACAATACAATAAGAATATTGTTCTAATATTGATTTAATATTAAACCAATATTGGCTAAATAAGAGACGGCGTCCATCTTACAATGTTGACCCAACATTGGGAATACCAGTTTTACATTATTTCCTAATATTGCGCCAATAGGGTCGTTAGTTTAGCTCAATGTCGAACAAAGCGTTCCATTCTGATCACAATGAGACGAGTTCCACATCGCTACGTGTCATAACACCAAAATTATGAGTATAAATGTACTAACCTCCGTTGGGAAGCTGCGAAGCATCGCCATATTCGTCTCGATACAGGTTGCGATTTATTTTCAAGCTCCCCTGTTGCTAATATCAACCGGAGTCTCACGGGAATGATCGGAACAATAAGCAGGGATGTCAGCGTACACATGTTGCTGTTTTTTCAACACACTTTTAAACTTAAAACGCAGTTGTAGGAGAAGTGAACTCAATTTGACGAATTACTCTACACGCGGAGAAATTTTACAGATGCGGCTCCAGGGTGATCTGCGGTCCTGGTTACACTCTGGACCCCGCGTCCGGGCAGTACTGCATCGACATAGACGAGTGTCGGGACGGGACGCATGAGTGCGACAAGGGTCAGACCTGCGAGAATCGGCAAGGCGGCTATCAGTGCATCTGTCCGCCCGGTCACGCGGCTGGGCCCAACAACGACTGCGTTGACATCGATGAGTGTAGCATTTATGGTAGTAATATTTGTGGATTCAACAGCCGCTGCGAGAACACCGTAGGCTCCTACAAGTGCCTGTGCTCGGAGGGCTTCGAAAACGCTGGAGGAGCCGCCGGTGTCTGCCAAGTGAGTCGTGTCGTGCACGATTTGGATAGGCAACAACACCCTAGCTGGAGTGTCCTCGTCTCGAAACGTAATCGTCCATTTCTTCCAGGATATCGACGAGTGTCAGCGAACGCCGGGGCTCTGTCAGCACGTGTGCATGAATGTGTGGGGCAGCTACAGGTGCGGATGCGAGGCTGGATTCAGGCTGAATCCCGATAACAGGTCTTGCAGCGACATCGACGAGTGCACGGAATTCAAGGACAATCATCTCTGCATCGGCATCTGCGAGAATACGCCGGGAAGCTACGCGTGCAAGTGCCCCGAGGGATATAGGCTCGGTATCGATGGTCGAACGTGCCAAGGTGATATAATCACGTACACGAAAAAGCGATCGTACGAAAAAAAAGTCAAAATACTTTAAGTCGGGTAGATCGACAGGATACGTTCGCTTATCGCGCGAATTGATGAGATGGAAAGTGAGAGCCTGTTTATGCGAGTCACGGTGTCGTAGCTTCGCGATCGAGGCGCGTGTTCCGCCTACTTTACTCCACAGTTGAAACGACGGTGCGATTTGTACTTGACCCGTTTGCCGGCGAACTGGAGCATCAGCTCGGGTCACCGGCGCACGAACACGCGCTCCTGCAATCTCCTCGATCTCGCGCAATCACGATATCGTTGGCGGTCACGATACCGCCACGTGCTGCAACGTACTTGATTGTCTTCTACGTGTGTTCGCAGACATCGACGAGTGCGCGGCCGGCCAGGTCTGCAGGGAGGCGGACGAGATGTGCCAGAACACGCGCGGGGGTTTCCGTTGTAACCGGATAAATTGCCCCTCGGGGTATCATCAGGACCCCATGAAAAAAAAGTATTAATTGCTCTCTAAAAGTCAGTCAGTGGATTGTCACCGAAAACAGTGAACATTCGCCGATTCACAGTTGCGGCACTGAATTATTCATTTCAAGTTTCAGTGATAACGCACCGACTGATTTTTAGAGAGCAAATTTGAGACGATTACAAATTTTCTCTCATTTAAATTCTCGGACACGTCACGTACGACGTCTGACACTGGGTCAATTTCAAACGTAGACAATTATTTGACGAATAACGCGATGACAGAGTTAGAAGTTTCTCGCTCGCAATTTCAGCCGCTGCGTACGCTCCTCGAGGTACTGCCGCGTGGACGATCTGGCTTGCCTTCGGTTGCCCTCGCACTACTCCTACAGCTTCATCACTTTCGTGAGCATGCTGCCCATCCCGCCCACCGGTCCGCTGGAGCTGTTCACCATGAGAGGAAGCCATCATCCTGAGTCGACGATGCAGTTCACTATGGCATTGGTGGACGTGCGCGCACCACCGGGTGTCGCGCGTGCCACGGAATCCTGTTTCGCTTTGAAGAGACCGGCGCCGTCGCAGGCGGTCCTGGTGCTGACGCGCCCGATTGCGGGACCGCAGGAGATCGAGCTGGATCTCAGCATGGAGATCTATCACGAGACTGGATTCATCGGGAGCGCCGTCGCGAAGGTCTTCATTTTCGTTACGCAATATGAATTCTGAGTAGACCCTTTAAGCGGAGACGGAAGTCAAGATCGTAAAGTAAAATGATGTAATTTAGAGGTACGCCTAATTGCCCGATTTATGTGATTGCCTCTTCTTCCATAGTGTTACTGTAATCGTAAGAGCAACAAGAGTTACATCCTCAAATCATATATAATTTTGCGTGATAATTTCTTTCTGAAACATATGAAGTTTTTTCGCTATTGCGATCTGTCATAGTTTGTTGAATAAAGTCTCTGTTTCACTAAAATAATACAGATATCTTTTCCCGAAATTACACTAATGTAATTAACGTCTTAGGCGACGTACATTTAAGATTAACGGATCTTTTTCATTTTTGCTCATTTTTTAAGCTAAATGTTAAAATAAATATACACGCGTTAGCGCGTTGCGATCGTAGATGTGTAAAAAAAAGGATGAATTAAATGTATATAGATTCTTATAAGTTAACACATGTAAAAGAATTAAACATGGAATAAACTTATAGAAATTAGTTAGATGACGTTTACAATAATTCCCAAGCACACGCTTGATACTTTATCAAAATCGCAGCTTTATTAAATATGTTTCACTAGCGACACTCTATCCTTTCTCTACACGGTCCGCTGTTCATGATCGGAACAACGCCTATTGCTTCGAATCTAATGCTTCACTTCTCCTTCATAGAAGACGAATAAAGCAACAAATCTGAGATCCTTATAGTGTTAATTGCCGCTTCGTTGCATGAAACGCGCGTTAACGTAATACAATATAAATATATATATATATATGTATATATATACACGTATATAAAATACCTCGGATAAAAAATAAAATAATAATATCACTGCGCGTTTTACATACGACAACCATCGTCGTCGTGTTGGATGCGAATAACGAACGCGCACCCGTGGTGCAGCGAATTGTCATTGTTACTAATAAGTAATTTAATAATTGTACTAATGATAATTGCGGTCGCTGTCGCGACGGCGACAATATCGTCGACAGCGGACGATAGCGATTGCGTAAGTCAGAGAATAAAATTGCAATAAAATAATATTAATAATCGTATAATCGTAATAGTAATAACAATAATAATCTAAGTAACTAGCGACAACTAGGGTAGCGATATTAATGTACACACGATAACAGGAAATAGAACAATTCGGGCGGTGCGCGTTGCGTGCGCGACGCGCCGGGAAAATGCATACAAATATATATCGCGTCGCCTAGAAATTTTTTCGGCATAATTCCACCGTTAATACCATACATCTATACGTTACGAGAGAACGCGATTACGTCATTGGGATGCCTCGTCGACGACATATGGCTCCAAGTGTTCGCGCGTCATCGATGTAACGTGTAATATCTAGGACGCGGAGCTGATCTCTCGCGAGGTTTCACGGTGAGCCGTCTTATTCGCCTAATTGCGTGCACAGCGATGGACAGAATGGTCGCAGCAGTTAATTTTAAATGGGTTTAGGCACGCGCGTTTAAATTCAGGTTTTCGTTCGCTCAAGAAAACATCTTACTAACGCAGGTAGATTTCTAGGTGATGCAACAAAGTCGCTATTTTTTGGATCTGTTAGAATGTAGCCCGCAAAATTTTTAGTAGCAACATTCTAGTAATACAGTTCTTCTGGAAAGTTTAGGTTTCATGACTAAATGTTAATCATTCACGTTGGATAAAAATGAATTTCTGTACCATAGCTGCTACCCAGCGAGAAATGACTCATCGATCGATGTTGAAACGATGCCTAATCGACATCGACACCGTTAAATTAACGCCAATTCGACATCGATCAACGAATCTTCTCCGGTCTGAGTACCCAGTGAGAAATGATTCGTCGAAACGATGTCGATTCAACATCGTTTCGACATCGATTGACGAGTCATTTCTGTCTGGGTAGAACAATCTTTTGTAAGGAATATAACTGTTTATGTACCACGATCAAACGTTATAATGGATGGGCGCCATAGAAAGACTTTCTTTCTCATATTCGCCAACAGTTCAGATAAAAATTCTGTTTGTTATTTAAATCGATTAAATACAAAACATATGCGATTTCGCAGTATTGACAATTCATTTATATATCACGATTATTTTTTCGTATCCAGAAAATTACAAAACTCTTTTTTAGTGTTTCAAAACATTTTCTCTGGGGAAAATTTTATTCGAGAAATAGGTCAGAAACGCTCAAAATGACTTTGGAACGGCTGCCGAGTAAAATATTCCTCGGAGAAGATTTTAGAATCCTGAATCTAAATGCACGTTCCTAAACTTATAAGTGTTGCAACCATTCTGTTCATCGCTGTACCAATTCCAAACGAGGGAAACGAGATTGAGCGTCAACGCTCGCAAAACAACTGCACGATTGTGCGAGAGGAAGCGTCCGGATCCAACCGGTTCGTTCAGCTGAGAGAGGCTCTTCCCGTGAAACTACCGCGTATCTCCGCGGTCCTGACGTGATACACAACGAACTTGCAACAAGCTTACGCGTAAACACAACTAATAAATAGTATAACTATAAACGTAACAGCCTGGATACAGCGGCAACGCGTAACAACGATGGCAGTGACATTCGTCGCTCGTCCTTCGTTAGATTCTAGAAAAGGAGCGTTGACTAGGATTTGCTGAGAATTTGCCGGGGCTCGCTCTTTGTGCCCTCGCGCCTTACGCGCGGCGAGATTTTAAGTACTCGATGGCAAACGATGTGAAAAGAGATGCGTGGCGGTACCTTTTTACAAAACGCACATATCCCTGTAAATGAATAAACAGTGCTAAGAATCGACGAAAAGAATCTGCCTCTCCTTCGAATGATGCGCAACATTCTTTTTATATTACTTAGAGGGACGCGTTTTGACGATTCTTCTTCCTTTTACCTTTGCACACTCGCACTTATCGCACACTACCCTCCCGGAAATAATTCTACAAAAAAGTTAAATATAACTGCCGGAATCTAAGAAATTCTACGTAAATTAAAAAATGTTATAAAAATCAATATGAAAGTGTTAGAATTGGAACACTTTTGTTCATTCTTGTAATATTCTACAAGTAAGCAGACGTTTTAATTCTTTAAGATTTTGTTGTTTCTCAAATTTTTAAAACTAGTAAAGTTTTGTACTAATTTTTACAAAATTGTACATTTTCATGAAATACTACTTGCAATAATTTCTTGATCTGAGAACATTATAATTTGTGGTACTATTTCATAGATATTTTTACAAAAAAAAATTTAATGTTTCAACGAAGATATAAAAATTTCTACAAATTTCTATTTCAAGTCAATTTTTTGTAGTTATTTATAGAAATTTTTTCCGCTAGGGCAGACTCATCCCTTCCGGCGTTCCACAATCTCATGTCTCAGAATCGTGGGGGAGAACAATTTGTTTTTTAAACACGTTCGAACAGTCCGAAAAGATATCTCGAGTAGAGAGCGGAGAATAGAACTTGCGCAAAAAACGTTCGTTCGACTTTCTTGTGTTGGTTGAGCTATTATTCCCCTTAAATACCCAACGTTAAAAAGATCTATTTGACTTTTCCCACGCGTAATTCGGTACAGGCAACGCGGTGTCTTAACAACGAATCGCGAAGTGGAGCTCAGATTTCGATAACAGCGCGCTTCCAGCAGAGAGAAAGAGTTACGTGGGAAAAATCCCCGTTGTTCCGAACGACACTATACTTTGCACGCCGCGTGCGATCGCGAATGTGTAATAAAACTATATTTACCCGAAACTAATCTACCGGATGTCAATCTTACTTACTCGATATATAGGCACTGAACTAGGGAGATCTGCGCCGTGAAAAATAAATATACTAACAGCTACCTGTGCTACCTATTCAACAGAGGTAGTAGCAATGCAGTTGACACTCTCCTAGCTGTGACCGTCTCGCGTTTCGTACGATGAAAAGTGTCACCGGACATACATATGTATCTCGTAACTAGTTACGACGTTCATATCACATTAATCTCGATAATTTCCGTTGAACGATTCTCGCCACGAGAACGAGGGATCTACGTGTAAAAATGCCGCTGTGCGTAAAAATAGTGCGTAGCTAGTTTGTTGTTTTTTTTCGGGATTTCAGGTGTATTCCGCTTTCGCGGCGTAATATTCATTCGAGAGGAACGACACACAGCTAATATATCTACTTGGACTCACGAAACGCACATCGTCGCTGCGACGATGGCAGGCTAACCGATTACTTGCTAGTCTACTAGTCTTCAATCACGTGGGAAAATTAACTTTGTTTCCAGAGAAGATCTGCCGGAATGGGCCACGGGCTCGCAGGACGAACTCCGCGGGCTTTGTGGAGGACGACATGCGGATTTATAAATCAACGGAAGCACTTGCGCCGCGCGGTCTTTCGCAAGACACACCTTCTCGCGAACTTAAACGCGTGACATTCTTATTTACGGTGCCCCCTTCTTCTCCCCAAGAAATGCTGCGCGTAACGGTATACGTATCGTGACGTACTTGCTCCACCGCTATTTCCTTAACTGTCCTGAGAGAGAAAGAGAGAGATAAACGGGTGTTTCTGCTTCTCTCATCGTGGTAATTAATATTTAAAAATAAAAAGATTCGACCGCGGCAATTAATAATTATCGACTTTTTATAGCTGAAGAATTTTATCGGCGACATTTGACTGCCGCTTTGTGGAAAAGAATAAGTTGCTTGGGTGAGAGCTAAAACAGGTATCTGAGGGATCTCGCTGCTATTTCGGCCGCCTGAGCGGTTCTTGGGCGAACCACGGCGCGCGTCCCCCGAGAATCCGGCGGCGATCATCAGGCGATCGTGTTGTTGTCCAGCTCGGCGAACTCGCGCGTCACCTTGCAGACGTAGTAGAGACGCTCGTAGAGATCCGGGGTGCAGCCGAGGTCACGCAGGTCGTTCAGCCAATAAGAGGACGCGTGTCGGCCCGTGTCGATGTAAGTGATCAGGTAGCCCCTTCCTCCCGCGGACTCCTGCGACACCACCATTTTCGTGTGGTCCACGAAGAAGTTCACTTGCAGGAGTGGTACCGTTAGCTCCATCACGATGGCCTTGTCCGTACGCAGCCACCGTCTCATGCGCGGCACGCAAGCGTTTTTCGACTGCCTCGGCGGCGCGCGGTATTTTTTCAGCTCACCACCTAGACGGCACATCAACGCGGGGTTACGTTAACGTTTTGCTCGTTAGGCCGCGTCGCTGTAATAGCCTGCTACAAATAGTTACGTTACGTTCTCGTTGTGATACTTTCCATTTGGAGGACGAAAGTACACGGAGAGAATTTCCTTTTGTAATTTACCCTGAAAATCGTGCGATTTTAAGTAAAATGTATAGCAAAATTTCAAAAAACTCGTAAAGTTCTTCAAAATTCCATGTTGTCCCACGATTACACGATTTTCAGGATAAACTTTAAGAGAAAATTCTCTCCGTGTATTCGAGCCGTAATCGGGCCATGCGAATGCAAGTCGCGTTTCTTTCGCGCGAAGAAATAAAAGCTTTGCGCACAGTATCGTAACTTTTTTTTAGTGACTTCAGGAACTCGAGAAATAGGTCGGAAACGCTCAAAATGATTTCGGAACGGCCATCGAGTAGAATATTCCTCGGAGAAGATTTTGAAACGTAACCCTGAATTTAAATGCACGTTCCTAAACTCACCAAAAAAAAGTTCGCAACCATTCTGTCCATCACTGTACATAAAAAAAAGATCAGCCTCACCTTCTGTCAAGAAATCGTCCATGTATTCGGTAAAATGACGAAGTAATTCGAGCTTCTTTTGCAACGGCGCCGGAACGTCCCTCTCCCGGTGATATCGCGTCACCTCGTCGTCGGTCGTCATATATTCCACTCTTCTGTATCAATATTGCAAATTTAATAAGAAATTACAATCCTGTGCCGAAACAAGTCGCACTACGGCGCATTACTTTCTGTCGATCTCCCCCCGATATTTACCTTCTATCGTGAGTGTAGCTGATCTTCGTGTTGTCGTTGAAGAGAACGCCAACCGACCTGTCGGAGAGTTGAAAGCCCAGCCCGTACTTGTTCGAGTAATCGATCCACTTGGTGACGAAGAGCGGCACGATGTCCTCTACGGTCGGCGGATTGCACGTGTTATTCCGCTTCATCTCCGGCACGCACGCCTCTAGTGCGCGATGCATTTGCACGCTTTGTGCCACGAGGCCGGTCTTCTTGTGATCCGGGCATAGCACGCTGCTGAGCCGTTGCCGGAATCGCGGCAGTTTGGGTAGTTTCCTGACGAGCCAGCTGGAGACCTTGGATTCCTTCTGCAGGCTCTTCTGCGAGCGATTCAGCACTTGCTGGTGCTGCGACTGCTGTTGCGCCTGCTGAGTCTGAATCGACTGTTGCTGGTAGCGCAGTGACGCGTCGGGATAAACGAGGCTCTGCTGCCATATCTGAAATTTCACGGGTATCGTAAAAACCTGCCGAGCAGATCCGCAAGAAATCATCCGGATGAATCATCGGGTCGCTCACCTGTGCCTTCATTTCCGGATTCCTGGCGACCGTGGACATCGAGGACGGCGACGAGGGTGGCTCAATGATCGACGCCGGTGGCATCTGGTAACAGCAAGTATGGGGTAAAGACGCAGGCACGTATTCCTTGGTGAGATAGGCGTGCTCCTTCACCCTCTCCAAGCTCGGTCGTAGCTCGGGATTGGATTGCAGCAGCCACCTGATCAAGTCCTGGCCGCTTCTACTCGCGATACTGTCGTCGACCTCGCGATAATGATTGTTGCAGATCCTGGCGTAAGTTTCCTTGAGTGTGGCCGTGTCGAAGGGCGGCTGCCCTACCAGCAGGGCGTACAATATGCAGCCCAGCGCCCAAACATCCGCCTCGTAACTGTACGCTTGCTTGTACAGCACTTCCGGAGCAATGTAGTTTGGCGTGCCGCATATCGTCCTGTGGATACAAATCGACTACATGCTGCGTTTTGTTGACGCTGCTGGTCGCTTGTGTTTAGACGAGCGCGTCCGTCAGGCCTAACAATCGTTTTAGAACGCCGGAAAAAGGGTCTCCGGTGTTTGTACGTTTTCCTCGAGTAGAATAGCTAAGGCGTCGTTACGAAACCAAAATAAGTAAAAAGGGATGGTGAGCTCCCATTCACATCCGATCATTTGCATTTTACGCCAGATCATTGTCATGTCTTGCTCTAAATTCTTTTCTTGCTCTCAACTTTTACAAACTCCGTGGTAATTTATAGCTACAAATTAACCAAGTGAAGGTCTTAACGCGAGGGAGAAGCTTGTCTATCGCGCCGCAAACTATGCTGGATCTTACACTCGTCTGCGCTGGCCGTCGGGCCTGGTCGCCAGCCCGAAGTCACCGATCTTGACGATCATCCGGTCCGATAGGAACATGTTGCCCGGCTTCAGGTCCCGGTGAACAACTTTCTGTGAGTGGATGTATGCGACGCCGGTCACCATTTGCTTCATGTAGTAACGTGCTTCCGGTTCCGTGACTTTGCCACGGTACTTCAGCACGTGCATCAAGCTCTGACGGAGAAGAAGAAGAGGACATGGTACTTTTATATCCGGGCAGCTTAGTATACTCGGCGCATTTAGTGACGTGCAAAAAGTCGCCTGGCGGAAGTATTATATGGTTTTTTTTATTTATTTCACACTCCTTATTTATACTTTTACATCGTCTTTGTACGTCGATCTTGCAATCTTCGCGGATGATATAATAAACTGCTATAAACGTTACGAAACCTGCGAAATTTCACAAGGGCAGCTACGTGTTAAAGGAGTTTGTGTAATAACCGCCTACAGCTCCTTTAAAAAGAGGGCAGATAATCGAAAAGAAAGCGTTTCCTGTCAGGAAGATAGTCGTCTCGAGTGCACGGAATGCACGTGCATCTTTTGAAGAGCGGACCGTTTTATGTGTTATTCTGCAGGATACGTGTCGCTTCTCGAAGGAATTGTCTTATCTGCGATCCGGTCAAAATGGCTTCGTTCAGCAGAAAGAGCTGAGGATCAATTCTGTATCTTACGCTGTAGTGAAAATGCTAAAAGTGAACAGCTTTAGCGTCTACCTTCAGCTCTAACCGTCTCCTTAGAAAGAGACCAAGTCGCTCACTTTTAGCATTTTCACTGTACTTCGAGATACAGAATTGACCCCCTGCTTTGCAACTGCTGCAAAATTCGTAAATTTGATTGGAGCACGGTTTTAAATCCTGCCATAATTACGAGCACACGTCAATCAGATTCAAGATGTTTGCAACAGTTGCAAAGCAGCTCTTTCTGCTCAACGCAGCCGTTGTGTTTCGGGAAAGCGCATATCTATATTTTTCTCGCTCCTCGCAATAAACTTGCCAACTTGTGGACGACGTTAAGTCTTTAAAACACAAGCTTTCGGCGAAATGAGATAACTTTACGAGGCTGTTCTGCGCAAACGCGACGAGGAAACGTCACGAAATTTTTCCCGTTAAACATTTACGGGGTATGAAATATTTTTTACGAGTTTTTTTTTAAACTGCGAGTCGCCGGCTTTCAATGCGTCTCTCTTTACGGCGCGTTACTACCGCTTTCGCTGTGGATTAACGTTTACGTTTTTCAGGAATTTCCGACGGAAATTTTTTATCATTTAAGTCATTAATCTAGCAATCCCGTCGTGATCGAGCGGCGGACGGAGACGACATTCGCGTTTGCGAAGACGATTGAGCGGGAGAGCGAGGATAATCAAACGATTAGTGGATGCTTCGTCGCATCCTAACGGTACAAACAGGTCGGCAGATCAACCATGAAGAGTGCAAGTGCCGCTCTCTTTCCGGCGAGATGGAAATACGCGGCCGTTGCCGATCGCGGACCGCTCGTAAACAGATACGATGAATCCTTAATTGTTTCTCGGGTACGGCGTGCAGAATGAGACTTGGGCACGTCGATTTAAGGCGCGCAGGTGCCGCACGAATGGAATAGAGATAGGCTGGAACTTGGAATACGACTTTACCAGGCGGAACGACAAAGAAAAACGCGCAGGATAAAATAAGGGAACAGCCCGAGTCGAGTATTTGATCCCGGAATGGGCCTAAATTATTCTATTCTTCATTTGCACCTCGGAGTCGGTTTGAAACTCCCATTTGAGGCCCGTATGAGTAAAAAAAATTGTGTTTAATCTCATTCTAACCCCCTTTAAGAGACTGTAATAAAATATTCACTCTCTTTGAAACCTCTTGGGCCAAAGAGGATCCACTAAACCTCTGTTGATTATATTCGCATTGACCTCTTTACTGCCGAAAGGGAAATAGCGACTTTTTTCAGGCTTATCCGACGTCAAAAATTCAATACGTTTTCTCCGACACAAAGACCTCATTGCTACCAATTAAAAAATTATACGCGGCTAAACTGAGACCAAAATATTCGACTCGCGAGCGCTCTTTATCGCTGCGCCAGGTATCAATATCTGTCGGCGGTTTAAATAATTTAGGAGACGATGGATGAACATCAAACTTTCCAGCGGTATGGATGCTGATCGTAAACGTGGAAAGGCAGAGTTGCGAAATTCTTGACGCGAATGCGCGGTGCGCGTAGCAGGGAACAATAAACTGGTAAGGCAAGTAGGAGACACACGATACCTTTCGTGGGCAGGCCTCTAGGAGCATGTACACGTTGAGATTGTCCTCGAAGTAGTGATGCATCTGGACGACGTTCACATGATTCAGCTCTTTGTGGATCATGATCTCACGCGCGATCTGCGAATGGCGTAAACGCGCGTTATTCAGCAAAACAAATATAGACGTGCGCGTTTCCCCGCGTCTGAACGAGCGTACGCACCTTCTGCATGTGGATCCTCTGCATCCGATTCTTCGGGATGATCTTGCACGCGTACTGATTCCCGTTACTAACGTCAGTCATCAGGTAGACCCTCGCGAAACCACCCTGAAACATGAGAAATAAATTGTTAATCGAATTTGCGGTAAACACGCGACTCTCGAAACAACGCGATCCACATCGACGTCGTCTCTGGCGACGACCGTGATGTAAGAATACGAGGTGAAACATTCCCGTGGATACGCACTCGCCCAGCTAACGGTGATTCTTTGATCAGTCAGAAATTTGCCCTAACACTAAAAAACACGATCTTGCAACCGCAGCAACAATTTTCTAGGTACGAAACAATACTGAGATATATATAAATGAATAACCAATACTGCAAAATTGTATATGTTTTTGTACTTAATCAATTTAAATAACAGAAATGGAATTTCTATCTGAACTGTTGGCAAATGTTAGGAAGAAAGTCTTTCTGTGGCGTCTATCCATTATAACGTCCGATTGTGGTGCAGAAACAGTTATGTTCCTCACAAAGATTGTTCTAGCTATGGTACAAGAATTTATAATATTTTTATTTAATGTGAATGATTAATATTTAGTCATGAAACCTCAACTTTCCAGAAGAACTGTATTACTAGAACGTTGCTGCTAGAAATTTTGCAGGCTACAAACACTTTTCTAACAGATACAAAATTAACGATAAATTTTTCTTGCGACGCCTAGAAATCTACGTGCGTTAGTATGGTAAGATTTTTTTTGAGTGAACCTTCAAACAGTAAATCATTGAATGCAGCAACGAACGATTTGCCCCAAAAATAGGTTCTTGTCGCATTGGCTCATACGTGCAATGTTTCGCGTTATATTCTTACATCACGGCGACAACGCGATCCATCACTCGCGGAGGAGGACAACAGCCGCGTCCTTCTTCCGAGTCCTAGAAATCTCAAACTAGATCCCAGGAATTTCTCCTTGATCATCATGTCGACGGTGAAAGGTTCTCTCCGCGACCGCTTTCGGTCTTAAAGTAATCTTCTGAAATTATCGTTTATTGCCTGCGCGCAGTAGTCGGCGGAATGGAAGAAAGAAAGTGAAGGGAATTTCTTTTTACGGGGCGCCATTCTTCGTGGCCTTTTGACAATCATGGGAGTCTACCAAACAGCATGGTGCGAATGTGACGCGGATCGCAGACGTACGTATCTCAGCCAAACGTTTTTAATTTCACAACGTATTAGTACGAGATGCAAATCGGTGTACAGGGTGCATTTTACCCTATTTCTCCTTCCCGCTGATCGTGAGATCCGCCTGCAAACAATGCGCCCGCGAGAAAACCGTAAACTCGAAACGGTCCTTGGGAAAATTTAAAATGAAATGAAATTAAAAATTTTTTAAGTAATCTTTCAAATCTAAGAGTTTACTTAAAGAAGTTAAAAGTTTATTTAAGAAATTTTAGAGTAATTCTGGACACTTAAAGTTTTTTTTAAACTCTTAAAGTAAGTTTTAAGTTTACCTTAAATTATAAAAGTTTAAGGTGTCCAAATTTACTTTACATATTTCTTATTTTTGTAAAGTAAAATTTTAAGGTTTTCTAAGGTACATTTTCTCAAGGGGGCTCGATTTTTCAAAATAACTTGTCACGAGAACAAACGAAGAGTGCCGTCCTGCGATCGCGAACGGCACACGTCGCATCATCTCGTCGCGGTGGGAAAGGGTGCTCGATGGGCTCATTGCCAGAATAATTCGCGCGAAAATATCCCGAACGAGTTACGAGACGCGTAACGCGTAAAGCGTCGCGACGATGGCGTCACGCGCTTGGAATCTCGCATTCGTATTCTCGTATTTAACGCCAAACGCGTCGGCCCGATACTCGATCACGTCAGCGATAGCGCGCTCTTGGTGCAAGCTCGGGCAGGACCGGAGATAAAAATGGGGTAGAGAGCTAAACGCGTGGCCTGCATGACGTTTACGGCTTGGGCCATCCGAGCGCCTTTCGTGCCGACGCGACATGACCCAGGCAGGCATTCCTCGTTCCCTCGTCCTTGCCGTATTTCAGCGATAATCCGTCGCGCGTATATATCCGGTGTGCAACGAGCATACGGCACGCCGAGCGTTCGCCCCTCCATACGGTTATGGCGAAGCGGTTAGTTTATCTTTAAATATACCACCGGCGACGACTAAAAATATATCCCCGCACGCGTGCACGCGCTTTGTGCACGCGCGGTTTAAATGGACTGTTGACAAAAACTCCTCGAGCCTTGTCCCCGTTTTGCGTTTCGCTCCTCGGGATCGGAACCGCAACGCACGCATAACGCCCTTTCTACATCTAAGGGTGATCCTGCTTCTGGCTTATCCGAAGCCTCTTCTATATTTAAGGATGATCCTTGTGGTTCATTTAAGGGGTCATTCCACTTTAACGGCCCCAAAACTCGTCTTTAACAATTTTTTTCACAGTAAATACACCATACAATGAAATAAGCCTCTTGGGGATTTTTTCGGGCACTCTTAAATAACACATAAACATTTTTGTCATAATTTGAATAATTTTTTAATTGAGCGTTTTCTACACCGTTCGAATGGCGTGTCAAAAAAGATGCAAGTCCGCTGCGTGGATGATTTTTAAACAGTTTTGAAAAGTACTTTTTAAAACTTTTTTCAAACTGGCACCATTCTATTTTTAAATAAAAATTCTTAATTGATGTTCCGGACATAGCGACACTCATATAGATTAAGAATCTTTTTGATTTTTTGTATCAGGTAAGCCTGAATGATAAAAAGTCATCAACGCAGTTCCATCTTTTTATTTATTATAGATTTATTTCATTGTATGGTGTATTTACTGTGAAAAAAATGGCTAAAGATAAGCATTTTTTTAGGGCCGTTAAAGTGGAATGACCCCTTAAGGGGATGTTGGAGCGATTCTGCACATCTTGCATCTAGAGCCGTTAATTCATGAAAACATTTGTGTAATGCACATATTATTGTACAGATCGAAAGTGTTCCACTATTCGGTCTGTATGCATAAACCGAGAAGCCTAAAAAGAAATTTATTCACTTAAATAAGTTATAGGTTAGGTAACCTACAGTTATTATTTAAGTGAAAAGATTTCTTTTTAGGCTTCTAAACTTAGTTTCAGCGATGCCATGCCGTTCTCTGATTTAGTCCGAATTTAGAAACTATAAGTTTGGAAGCCTAACAAGAAATCTATTCACTGAAATAAGTTATAGGTTAGGTAACCTATAACTTATTTAAGTGAATAGACTTCTTGTGAGGCTTCTAAACTTAGTTTTAGTGATACCATGCTGTTCTCTGATTTAGTCCGAATTTAGAAACTACAAGTTTAGAAGCCTAAGAAGAAATGTATTCACTTTTAAATAAGTTATAGGTTATAGGTTAAGTAACCTATAGTCTATAACTTATTTAAGTGAATAGATTTCTTCTTAGGCTTCTAAACTTAGTTTCAGTTATACCATGCTGTTCTCTGATTTACTCCGAACAGCGGTACACTTTCAATCCGTACGCAAAAGCCATAATTTGTATATTACATAAGTGTTTCCATGGGTGCAAATATTGCAGAATCACTCCATCATCCCCTTAAGGGAGTAGTTTTTAAAACCTGCAATTTTTGTCTACATTACTACCGCGGATAATCTATAAATATAAGTTCATCTTTAGGTGTACAAGGAGCATAGCATGAGCCACAAACAGGATCATCCTTAGCTCAGCGAGAAATGACTCGTCAATCGACGTCGAAACGATGTTGAATCGACATCGTTTCGACGAATCATTTCTCACTGGGTAGATGTAGAAACCCTAGTAGCACAGTGCATTGGCTCAACATTGGCCCAATACAACAAGAGTCTATCCAGACAAACTTGCACAGGTGCATAAGCATATGCATAAAAAATGAGTTGGCCCATATTTCCTTATGCGTGCATTTATGGTCCAATCAGATTCCTTTATGCATACGAATTTATGCGCTATGCGAGGTTGCCTGGATAGACCCTAAATATTGGGCCAATGTTTAACCAATGTTTGGTCAATGCACTGTGCTACTAAAGTCCGTATCAGACTACGGATTGAGATTGGGATTAGATTGAAAATTGACCTATTAGAGTAAAAGTTATTAAACTTGAGATTAGTAAACTTTACTGTGATTGGTCAACTTTCAATCTAATCCCAATCTCAATCCGTAGTCTGACAGGGGCTTAAAGGGAAGGGCATAACGCATCCCGTCGGAATTAGCGCGGCACGGCAAGCGCGCGGGGTGGAAAACCATTCCCGATCATTCTTCTCTCTGTGGAGTAATCGAGTCTTCCCTTGCTTTCCGCGATTCTCTTTGCAACGCCGAGGAGCCGTGCCGTCCCGACTGAGAGACACGCGCGATCTTCCCCCTCGAGCCTTCAGTTAGATATTCAGGACGTCGCGCGAAATGAAACAATTAATCGGCGATGTGATTCAACGGAGAGGGGGTCGATTAATATGCGTATGTCATTTTCTCGATACGCCGGGGGATGAGCGGCACATCGCTTCACGCGAAGGACAGCGATCCGTTAACTTCGCTTGATTTCCCCGGCGGTCAGCTTGTCAAGAGCCTCGGCATCGCGTCGCATCTCGCGCGCTCGCTTAGCGTGTCTCGCTGGCCGTCTCGGGGACGCCGAAACGAGCCCTCGGGCCCTCCTCGAACGCTCGCCGACGTGCCGCGAGGTCCGTGAGCACCAGTGAGCACGACGGAGAAAACGAGCGAGCGCCGCGCCGACCGGTTTTCGCGCGGCGTGCATTGCAGTGCGTCATCGATTCGATTCCAGAGAAATAATCCCATTCACGCGCCATTCACTCCTCGCAATCGTGGCGTAATGGCATGCGCTCGCGCGATTTCAAACGCGCGCACAAACCTCCTCGCCGTCCGTCGCCGAGTTTCCCGTCCGAGCGCGCGGCGAGAGGGGGGGGGGGCGCGGGGGAGATCGAGCACTTCTCGACGATAAATGCTCTCGCGACTATGCGAATCGCTTTGTTCGCGCGGACAGTCGATTTCTCGCCGCACGAAAGTCGCACAGAAAAATCAGGACTTTCCTCACCAATTGGGACGCGCGCGAACAAACGGGAGAAT